TAGTCTAAACCAAATGCTTCTGCATTTGGTTTAGACTAAAGTCCACCTGTGTGTAATCTATCATCAGTATAAGTTTGTGTCGATTTGTTAGAGAACATTAATAAACAAACAGCATCATGAAGACCAAGCAACCCATTAACCCCTTGTTTTAAACTATAAGGCTGTTTAGAAGGTTGTAAACCCTTTTTTTCCTAAGTGGAATAAACATAACTTACAGTCTGTTGAGGCTGTGGTGCTATAAAGTACATAAAATGTACTACAAATCAGATTTTTTTATTAGTACAAAAATTAGAAAATTAAACTTCCCAACCTGTTCACTTCACAAGTCCTCCTGTGCAGCATCACACAAAATCCTAATAAATATATTAAAGTATTTATTGAAGTGTGGGGTTGAAGAAGTTCAGTGGATATGAATATTGTTGCAGCAAACCTGTAACAAGCATGGCTTGAAGGGTAGGATGGGCTTGATGTTAGCGAAAACAGCTCAAAGCAACTGTTAACCATTGGGGTCGAGGGCAGACGATCTGGACCCATCTTAAAATATGCATTGTGTCGACCCAGAGCTCCTCTGTTTATAAGGGCATTAGATTTTAAAATAAGATGTAAGCAACGTTTTAAAGAAAAGCTGGTCAAAAATCCTCCGCAGTGATTCAAGAAACTTATACAGACATAGTTAAGGCTGCTAAAACTGCTTCTACAAGGATGTACTTTGTTTATTGGACACAACTTTTCCACTTTTCACTATTTATTATCACTGGATGGTAATCAACTTTCGAAACCTCATACTGACTATGTTGCAAACCCCAAAAGGGAAAGGGTTCAGCTTTCCTTTTACCATATTAACCTGTTGGACGTGCCACTATTTTCTCAGGACTGTGAAGTATTGTGGACCATTACAGTCTGGAGAGTATAAACTACACCTGGAGGCTGGAGGAAAAACGCAAACAAACACAACAATTGTTTGTGTTCTAGGTAGGTATCTTGTGTGTCATTGTTAAAACGCAAATAAATACAGCATCACTTGTAATATAAAATTTCCCTTCTAGAGAAACAAGAGCCATCATTTAGGATAACAGATAATTACCTTTTTGTTGAGACTGTGAGTGTCTTGCCTGCTAACTCTACATGGATGATGTCAAGTTTATCATCCGGCAACAGGTGAGTAATACGTAGCAGCTCAGCCATGAGAGATCAGCAGGCCTGATTGTTGAAGCTCAGTGATCTTTGTCTGACTGCAGCTCTGAAACAAACCCATCCTGGGAAGTGATTGAGAGTAATAACCACCCAGCTTCTGATGACTTCTGTAACCAGAAACTCACCGGCAACGTGAGCACAATAAATGTACCGGTTGCAGCAAAATTTAAGTTTTGCTTGACGGACCAAGCTGGGTCCAGGTGCAGTGAGGAACGTTATGTGCTTCCAAACCCCAAATTCCAAGCTTCCACAGGTAAGACAAGATCATTCACCCTCGACATTCATTCAGCAATGTTGATATAGCTGACTTCTGCCATGCTTACATATTTTTAGCTCATCAATCTTCTGACGGTCACTTAATAATGCCACTGAAAATCGGCATATTGGCTCTGATCCTGGCTCTGGCATTAGTCTCATTTATGCTCATGTACTACATCAAGAAAAAAGTATGTGTCGTCGCACACGGGATCAACACAGACACAAGCAAATCCATAAAATACACTGAATCATTTTGGTTTTCAACAGAAACCCCAATATCAGCCTCAGCTTCAGATGATCCAGATGGTTGGACCTAACGACAACGACTACATCTACATCAATTTCAAGGACTTTAATTACGACAAGAAATGGGAGTTTCCACGGGAGAACCTGGAGCTTGGTAGGAGTCAGACTAAACAGAATACTACAAATACTGTGATAATCAACTCAAAAACAGTTCACTACAGTTTTATCCAATCAAATGCAGCCAAATATAGTAGATTTGTTATTATGAAATTTATGTTGTGGACACGATACAGACAAATGAGAAATGTGATTTCATTTTTTCCATGAAGTGTGATGGATGTTTATCATGGGTAAAAGATAATGTCAGTCTTGTTGTCTGAAATGTTAATTTTTGCTTTAAAAAACTAAACGACGTCTGCTTGGTTCAAAGATCAATCCCTAGCTATTAAATGTAAAAAAAATATCTTGCTATAAGTGAGGCATCAAGCT